AAGCTCAGGAGAAAGAGGGGGAAGGGGGTGGGGGTGTACTAAAAGGAAACCCCCAGCTCTTCCTCTCCCCTCCCCCTCCCTCCTCTCCCCCTGTTCGCCCCCCCTCCCCTCTCCTCCCAAACCTTCACTCCTTTCCTCTCCCCCTTCTTCTCCCCTCCCTCCTCTCCTCACGCTGCCTTCAGGAGGGGCATGTTGTCGGTGGTTTCCCCGTCCTCTTCATCGTGGAGGCTGACAGCGTCTACGAGCGGCACATGTTGGCCAAGGGGCCCGAGGCTCTCGATAGAACTGCTTAAAGACTTGTGTAATCTCCTCTTCCTCCTCCCTCCGTCTCTCCCTTCCTGCTGCTGCTGCTGCTGCTGCTCCTCCTCCTCCTCCTCCTCCTCCTCCTCCTATCCGGTTCCTCTTCCCTCCATCGCACCGAACAAGTTTCCGAACTGTGTCAGACAATCCCTCCTGTGCATGATCTGAACCTCACAGTCAATTCACTGCCGTTACTCCCAACTCCCTTCTCCTCTCCCTCTCCCTCCTCTTTCCCTCCCCGTCCTCCTCCCCGTCCTTTCCTTGTCATCCTCCTCCCTCCCCCCTCCTTCGTGTCTGCCATCCACTCCTCCTCCTCCTCCTCCTCCTCCTCTCCTCTCCTTTGCTCACCATCTCCACTTCTGCCTTGAGTTCCATCGATCGCTGCAGATCAGCTTCAAGTAGCTGCTGCTCTTCCAAGTTCGTATACACCGCATCCAACTCCTGCTAGCCGTCAGTTCCCCTCCCTCCCCTTCCTCACCCTCGTCCCCTTCGGCCTCCCCCAGTCTACTGCCTCCTCCTCGTCTCTTACCTTCTTGATCTGTAGCTGCTGCTCAAAGGAAGTAGCTGAAGATCGCTTGTTAGTTCATTCCTTCTGCTCCTCCTTCCTTCTCTCACTCACTCTTTCCCCTGCCCCCTTTTCTGCTCTACTCCTCCCTCCCTCCCTCCCTCCCCTCCGTCCGTCCGTCCGTCCGTCCCTCGCTTCCTCCCCTCTCTCTCTCCGTCCGTCCGTCCGTCCGTCCGTCCCTCGCTCCCTCGCTTCCTCGCTCCCTCCTCCTCTCTCTCTACCGCTCTCACGGTTGTCAAAGGCTCGTCGGAGCATCTCAAGCTTTGCCTGGAGCTCAGCGATGCTTCTCTTCACCACCTCCACCTGCTCCTCTTTCAGCTCCTTCAGCTCCTCCGCCTCCTCCTCCCTCACGTTGTGGTGAGCCAGCAGCTGCGAGGCAAGGATGTAGTCCCGTTGGTAGAGCGTGAGGAACCTGACGAGGGTTGAGGAGGAGCAAAGCAGAAGCAGGGGGGAAGAGGGAGAAAGAGCGACGTGGAAGAGGAGGAGAGGATGGAAGGGAGGGATGATGATGATGATGATGGTGGTGGTGGTGGTGGTGATGATGATGATGATGATGATGATGGTGGTGGTGGTGGTGGTGATGATGATGATGATGATGATGATGGTGGTGGTGATGATGATGATGATGATGATGGTGGTGGTGATGATGATGATGATGATGATGATGATGATGGTGATGATGGTGATGATGATGATGATGATGATGATGATGATGATGATGGTGATGGTGATGATGATGATGATGATGGTGATGGTGATGATGGTGACGACGACGACAACAACAACAATGGAAAAAAGGTGGAGGAAGAGGAGGAGGAAGAGGAGGAGGAAGAGGAGGAGGAAGAGGAGGAGGAAGAGGAGGAGGAAGAGGAAGAGGAGGAGGAGGAGGAGGAGGATGACCTGTCAATGGTCGAGCGGTAGTAAGCTTCAGCGGCATGCACAAGAGACGTGCGGGGAGAGCAACGATTGCTCCTGCAAGCCAAGTGAACGAGGAGGCGGGCGAAGGAGAAGAACCACGAGAGAGGGAGAAAGCGATGAAGCAGAGGGAGAGGAGGGCGACAAGCAAAAAAAGGAAGAGGAGGGAGGGGGGAGGGGGAGGTGGATGAATAAAGGAGGACGAGCAGGAAGAGCAGGAAGTGGAGCAGGACGAGCATGATCCCAGGAGCAGGAGGAGGAGGAAGGAGGAGGCGGAGGAGGAGGAGGCAGGAGGAGCAGGAGGCAGGAGCAGGAGCAGGAGGAGCAGGAGGCAGGAGGAGGAGATTTACTTGCAGAGCTCGTTGGCCACTCCCTGCATGAGCGCGTTCGCTTGATTCCAGACGTTTGCGATGTTCAGCTGCCACTTATTTCACCTTCCTCAACCCTCCACTCGCTCCCCTCCCCCTGCCTCCTTCCTTCACTTGCCTTCTGCCCATACTTCCCCCTCCCTCTCCGCCCCCCCCTCTCCTCTCCTCTTCTCTCTACACTACTCTCCCCTCCTCTCGTCTTGTCTCGTCTTGTCTCATCTCGTCTCCTCCTATACTTCTCCTCTATCGGCCCCTTCTCCTCTCCTCCTCTCCTCCCCTCTCCTCTCCTCACCTCTTCCCCGTCCCTCTGTCTGCTGCTGCTCACAACTCCGATGGGGGTCGCCACGACCGACTGAGGGCTGAGCCAGGGGTGGGTGGAGTGAGCCGCGTCGGAGAGGAGGACGGCCTGAGCCGAGACTGGCGCCATGAGAGCGAGGTCTGCAGCTTGAGTGAGGAGGGAGGAGAGCGGAGGGAGGAGGGAGAGACGGCACGCAGGCAGAAGAAGGGAGACGAAGAGAGGAGGAGAGGAGAGGGAGGACAAGGAGGTGCAAGGGAGGAGGAGCAATCAGCGACTGAGCTGATGATCGGAGGAGGAGGAGGCGCGACCTTGGGAAGAAGCTGTTGCCGTGGAATTTCGCTGTCGAGAAGGTCAGGGAAGAGAGAAGCGCATGGAAGGAGCTACCGCAGACTTTGAGGAGCGAGCATTTGATTTCTTGCCTGAGGACAGGACAGGTAGTGACTGGCTGAGACGGGGAGAAGAAGAGGGCAGAGGAGGTGAGGAGAGGATAAGGGAGGGAAGCAGAGGAGAGGAGAGATGAAGAAGGGTCAAGGTAGAGGAGAGGAGAGGAGAGACGAGGAGAGGAGAGGAGAGATGAGGAAGGGTCAAGGAGGAGAGGAGAGGAGAGGAGAGGAGAGGAGAGGAGAGGAGAGGAGAGCGGAGGGAAGAGAGGAGGAGGAGAGGATATTGCTCACCCTTCTTGCTGGTGGAAGCAGCAGCCTGCTTCAAGGCGTCAGCTCAGCCACCAGCCTCTTTCTGCACGTGAGCTACCTGACCAGCAGGATACGCTGGCTCCTTGTTGCTACCTCCCTCCTCCTCACCCTGAGACAGAACCTTGAGGTGATGCGCGAGGAGGGAGGGAGGGGAGGGGAGGGGAGGGAAAGAGAGAGGGATGGAGAAGGAGAGAGAGGCAATAGGTAGGGCAAGGTATGTTGATAGGTGCAAGAGACTACCATATGAGAGTTGTGCTGTAGGGGGTCGAGCATGCCCTGTGGAGACGAATCGCCCTTCCTAGCCTTCTTGGAGGAGGAGGAGGAGGAGGAGAAATCAGCAGCGTCCCTCTTATTCTCTCGCTTTCCCTGATTCTCCTTCGACTTCTGCTCCATCACAGTATTCTCCTTCTCCATCGCGTTTCTCGCCTGCTCAACACACGTCAACCTCCTCCCCGCACATACACCCTCCTTCCTTCCAGCTCCTACCATCCTCAGGCCCTCTCCCTCTCTGTCTCCTCCCTCTTCCTCCCTCTGTGCTCACCTTGCGCCAGTCGACTGCGTTGTCATCCCAGGTCGAGAACAGCTTCTCTGCCTCTCCCCACGTCTTGACCCCCCTGCATTGCTCCGTCCACTTCTCCTTTCTCTTCCTCCAGTCTTCCTCCCTGATCTTGCTCTCGTCCTTGATCATGTCGTCGATCTGCTGACCTTCTCAGCGGGAGTCCGAGCAAGGGGAGCGGTTGCCACCTCTTTCAGGACGAGGATGAGAGCACGGGGTGTCATCGCCTCCTGCAGCTTCTTGGGCAAGTAGAACTCCCAGTACTTCTCGTTGTTCTCCTTGACCTGAAATGCACACTCATCTCAGCGTCCTCCTCTCCTCCCCCCACCACTCCTCTTCCTCTCTCCCTCTTCCAGCTGAGACTCCACACTACCTCCGAATAGGGGATCATGTCCACAGCGTCCAGCACGGCATGCATAAGCTCGTGCTTCTCCCAGTTCATTCCGTCGCTGTCGATCTCCTTCAATAGCGCCATGAACTGCCAGCAACTTACATCGTTCCTCCCTCCTCCCTCCTCCCTCCTCCCTCCTCCCTCCTCCCTCCCCCTTCTTGCCTCCTCCTTCCCTCATCTCCCTTCCTCTCTCATCTCTACCTCCTTCTTTCCCTCCTTCCCCTCTCCCTTCTCCCTCCTCTCTGTCTGTCTCTAGGAGTCCAGAACGAGGTTCCTACCTCCTGTATCGTCGATGCCGATTTCAACTCATCGATCCAAGCTGCTCTCCTCTTCTCGACCCATCTGCCAGTCGAGTCAAGTCCCCTCCTCTCTGCTGCCTACTCTCACTCAGGGAAGTAGCAGTTTACACACAGCCGCTCCTCGATACTCCTCAGCCAGCTTGCTGCGGAGCCTTGTCACCTTCATGTGTGGGGATGAGGGAGTGAGGAGCGAGGGATGACAGGGGAGCAGGGGAGCAGGAGAGCAGGAGAGCAGGAAAGAGATGAGGAAACGAGGAGAGAAGGGATGAGAAGAGAGGACGAGAGGACGAGAGGAACAGGCTGACCGAGCCCTTCAACGGAGTAACTTCCTTTCTTCAGCTAAATGCAATTGAGAACAGCGTAATCAAGACCCTCAATCAATGCACCTGATTCCTGAATGCTCCCCAATCCTCTCGCGCGTTCAGGAACGTCGAAGTCTTGCCTACCTGCATGGCGGCGAAGCTGCATGAACCCGATGAGGAGGGGCAGGGAGAGAGAGGAGGAGAAAGGATACCCGATCTTCTGAGCGAATTTCTTGAGCTTCTTGTTGCACTCTTCGAACCTCTTTCGTGATGGTGTACCCGGCGACTTGAGTTTCTTTGCATCCTGGTGTGGTCGGCATGAGATGGAGCAGGAGCATGCAGTATCGGAGTAGAAATGTTCAGGATCAGTTCGTCTCACATCTTGATGCTCGTGCTCAACCGACGATCCTTTTGTAGACATACAGTCAAGCGGATGCTGTTCCAATCCTTGGAGCGAGGGGATCTTGACTTTTCATTCCATGGCCTCGCACACCCACACCACAATGCCGTTGATTCTGATCCGACCATCATGTTAGAAGTAATCCACTCGAAGTCAGAGGGCGATCCAAAGCTATCTCCTCAACTCCATTCCTCACTGTTACTCCCTTGGATCTCAACTCGCTTCTACTCAGTTTATCTCATTTCACCTGGCGTCGCCTCGCCTCGTCTCGCCTCGTCTCGCCTCGTCTCGCTTCACCTCCCTTCACTTCCCTTCACCTCATCTCGTCTCGCTTCACCTCCCTTCACTTCCCTTCACCTCATCTCGTCTCGCTTCACCTCGTCTCA